TATTTATTAAAAAAGCATCACACACTTTCCTATCGAAACGAATTTCCATTCAGTGTTCTAAGAATTTGATTTCTATTCCCTAAAATAACGGAATTGTGCATAATTCAGTTGAACTGGCTCATAAAAATGCCAATTAACTGAGTTGATCCGCATAAATTAAATCTTTAAATGACTTTGTCATGTTTAGGTATTAGGTGTGATCGCATTTGGTGAATTAATCATCATTGTCATATTCATCACTCTTTACGCGTACAATGTTCGATGGAGTAAAAGTGCCGCACGAATCGGGGCAACGCTCTCACATAAATATCAGGTTTGATCAGATTACAAACAGTTTCGAACATATTAAAGACTAGACGGCTCAGTATCGACGTTTGACTATGTTTTCAAAAGAAAACAGTCACGAACTCCCACGTGCGGCAGAAAATTGAGGATGAGCTGAAACTCATGTTGAAGATTCTGCGTCTGGAGTGGATGGAGCCTCGGTTTTTGAGTCTACAAACCATAAATTAATCATTTTTTTGGGCTCCAGCAATGACCTCGACTAAAGCTGAGGTTTGAGCATGAGATTAAGTTGATGATAACATCCCTGTGGACTAGTTGACAACGACTTAATATGGCAAAAAGCACGCTATCTGTCATTTAACAGAGACTTTTCTGCCCGTTATGCAGTGCTGTTGATATACGGAATTGTTGAAAGTGTGTATTGATAATGAACGGTAGTGAATTTGTTCAGGTAGAACAGAATATCGAAAGCGCATTGAAACTGCTGCCTCTGGCTGCCGCGAATGCCACGTGCAATCTGATATCTGCATTAGCAATTATCTGCTCGTTCCATTATGAACCACTCAAAAGTTTACCGTTTTTCTGTTTCGATATAACGCCGTTGTATTTTGTTGCTCTACCGATCATCGTCTATTGGAGACGTTATGTTGCAAGGTCAGTTCTTGGCAATTAAATGCCGTATTCTAACGAGTAAGGACCTCTTCGAAGTTGATTGTTCCTGGACGAAATCCACTTCCTCGAGAAGTGTTCTCGACCAATAAGCCTTGATAGCAGAATTCGGGTCTATTTTAACAAAAGATCCGTCAGAATTACGTCGCCTTTTCTTAAGGGAGATCGTTCTCCGCAGAAGCAAAGATAAATATGTTATGGAGGGCTTATGTTCGATGAGAAACATATTTTATTCGAATTATAACATATTCGAATTTTCTTCTTCATTCATCACTGCTAATTTATTTAGCGTTTGTTTGCAATCAGTATTGATTTGCTTCACGAAAATAACCTTTTTAAAAGAACAACGGTATTATTGAATGAATTACAGCAATGTGCATCTTCATTGTATGGAATCAGGAAATGAAATTTAGTCATTGTTATCAGTTTTTTTGAAGACAGTTAATCATTCGTATGTCACGAATGTTATTAAGTTCATATTCCTAGTGGCTGACATCTTGTTAAATGATGGAAGATATCTACAGTTAACCTTTTCTAAAGATATCTTGGGAGGNNNTGGGCGAAATTACGCATTTTACACAACATTTTTGGAGCAACTTCAAATTCATCATTTTCAGAAAGTCTCGTGTGCAGTCGATCGCATTGTCGAGTCGTAAGGAAGGCAGTGATCATTTTGAAATGTTGAGAGCGGTCTTCAATACCAATTCGGGTCACTGAAACACTGATTTTGAGTTGTTCGTGAGAAGGATCTGATGATCATGCGTACAGGGACAATCCACTGGAATGCATTTCATAAATAAAAAACAGTACATTCGCAACGGCAAGTGTTGATGGAACTCGACCTGGAACTTGAGTGCATATGGTTGAGTAAAATCAAAAAAGTTAAAAATATACTAAGTTTCGACAACATCGATGGGTTCAACAGCGAAGATTAATCGATGGGTGATCAAAAATGACATGCTATAATAATATTAACAATGACTTTTCAGAAAATCAAAAATTAGAAATATCAAAACTTCAGCAATAGAAAAAATCATGAGAAATATTTAAACTGAATTTCACTGAAATGTTTTTTGCACGCAGATCAAACAGAGCGACGAGTATTAATAGACGTTTTGAATCAAGATTTCGACTATTCAAATTGCGCCTCTTCATTCAAGTGTAATATCAAGTCTCCGAACCTGAACGGTTTCGTTGGCAATTTTGTTGTCAATTGATTTCGTCCTCAGTGGGCAGCGTATTTGATACGTCGTTACGGCTCGAAGATTAATTTGATTTTCTGAAAAGTCACTGTCAATATTATTTGCGCAATTGTCCTTCGCTTAATCTCGTTTGTGACACTTATTGCAGCCACAACACTGATGTTATTATGGGTATCATTAACCGATATCACTGCGCTAATAATGTCAGATGTCTGCGTCAGGTGATGATCTCGTGAAGTGAAGTTTATCCTCACCAATTCAGTCACTCGTCTTAATTTGCAATGGAAAGAAACCGACAGTGAAAACCTCAAAAGCTGTTTTACAATAATTTGTCTCATAATTCTACTCATCAGTTCAAATTTTCTCAACGTCATCATCGTTGCGAATGCAAACATTCGCAGAGAATTCTGAGAATAAGTCGCAATGGTCTGTACCATTTCCCGTTCAGCTGTTCATCGAACATTGTAATCATTCCATTAATTATAGTTACATCTAT